GACTCGTAAACAAGAAGTTGGTTGTGGGTACTTCCTGCATTCCAGACATACTTCCAGTTCAGACTCTGCCTTTCCCGCCTCCCTACCATCCTCCCCGCCCCCCAGACCCTGAAGTTGATGCCACCGCCTGGTGGCTCACGGCTGGCAGCTTTGGTCTCGAGACCTTCCACACCCACACCCACACCCGCTAATTTTACTGCCACCCCCACCTGTCACCATGGTCTTGCTCTCTCTCCGTATCCCGCCTCGCTTGGGAATGCCGCCTCAAATCTCAGGGTTGCAGGTCCTGGATCGAGAGGCAGCGCGGCGTGGCCTCTGGCACCCCGTGACCAGGGGCTGGTCCCCACTCTACCCCAAGCGAGTGCTGTGTCTTTCGAAAATTGGCGGCCATGATGTGCCTACCTCACAGGGCTGCTGTCCAGGGAGCGTCGGTGTTCATTCATTCATTCCTGCGCTCAGTATTTACGGAGGGCTTGCCAGGGAGCAAAACAGAGTTGGCTCCCTCCAGGGCCGACCCAGCCCATGGGACTGCGGCGTGCTGAGCGGGGGCTGCTTGCTGCCACCATCATTGTTTCTTCTCTGCTCTATTCCCACCTCCCGTGCCAGACTTCGGTGTCTCCTCCTCCGTTTCCTCCCAAAAAGTCCTCCTCGTCCCTGGCTCCTCAGGAGGACCCCGGCGGTGGCGCCATCTGAGAAAAGGACAGCCACACATAATACACGTTCTGTTACAGACATCTGAAATCTCCTAGTTAAAATGCCCCAGGTGCCCCCCGCCCCAGTTTCTGCCAGGACCTTGCCTCTTCACCGTTCGTGGCTCCAACTCTTCCTAGACTCCGGGATCGGCATTTTCTGAGTGTAAATTTTTGCCGGTGCCCTGGTGTTTCATGGCGTATACAGCCTCTCTCAATAATACTTCACACTGAATGAGCTTTTGTTGGCTGCTCAAGGAAAGTTTACTTATTGTACTTAGAGTAAGTCTATGGAAAAATGCCTTCTGGATTCAAAACCAGGGAGCAGGGCCCCTCGTCCAGCTGTTGGAACAGCTCTATTCTTTTTTTTTTTTTTTTTTTTTAATGTTTATTTGTTTTTGAGATAGAACATGAGTGGGGAAGGGGCAGAGAGAGAGCTCCCTCTCCGGAACGAGAACCCGGAGCAGCCTCCAGGCTGTGAGCCATCAGCACAGAGCCCGACGTGGGGCTCGAACCCACAGACCGCGAGATCATGACCTAAGCCGAAGTTGGACACCCAGCCGACTGAGCCCCCCAGGCGCCCCGGAACAGCTCAGTTCTTTGTGAGGCAAACCGACCCAGGAGAACTCGGTCTGTGGGCTCTCCCTCCGCAAAACTGAATGCACATGCACACACACACACACACACACACACACACACTCCCAGACACTCCTGCCCACACATGTGTAAACTCCCGCACACGCGTGCACATACACGCTCCTCCCCCATGTGCATACGTTCCCACATGTACACGCACGTGCACGCGTGCACACCCCGAAGCCACACCATGTCAGGAGGCGGTCCGTGGGTCTCAGACCTGCTTCGGTGCCCTCTGTGGTTCGCACATGTGAGGGGATGCTGTCACTTGGACTCCACCCTTGTCCCCTGAGCAAAGTGTGTGATTCTCACTCCGTTTCCTGACATTCTGGGACATTTCACTTCTCTTTCCTTTTCTGTGTCTCTTTCAGACCTCAGATCTCTAAAAAGTCTCCAATTAGGTAGGTGTTGAGTTTCACAGACCTTCACTAGTCCTGTGTCTCGTAGTGGTAGCTGCTTTGCCGGGCAGCACGGGGCTCGTCCAGCGTGAAGATGTCGTTGCCTCTTGTTCCTGCGGTAGCCGAACCCGGGACTCAGAGGGCGCTCTGCCCTCCCGGGGTCCCCACCAGGCAGGGGTGATGGGGCAGTCAGTCCCAGGCCATCTGAACCACCATGCAGGGCCACACTCACACTGCAGTTAGGTTCACGCAGAGGCTGAGTGATTCCCCCCCCCCACAGGGACACGGTCCATGCTGAGAAGCACCGTGACTTCCCCGGGTTCCGTGTTGTGTTTTCCCTCCTTGGAGTGCTGGGCTGGGGACGCCTGGGCTTGCCCCACCTTCGCGGAGGCCCCTGGGATGGGTAGGAAAGCCCCAGAGCCTCGGGGTGGGCTTAGGGGAGGCGCCCGTGTCTGTTTCCAGTACTAACTCTACCCAGCGGAGACTCCTTGCAAAGCAAAGTATGACCCCTTGTCTCAGACCTTCTAGCCGAGCTGCTCGAAGGCCTGAGGCTCCCTGGCCTTGCTGGAGCCCCCAGCCCCAGTCGCGTGGAGATAAAACCTGGTGCTGGCAGTTCTTTCCTCTCAAAAGAGCCATTTCCCCAGCATTCTGTCTGCAGTCTTTGGCATCGGACCAATGTGTGTCTGAGCGTCTGTTGTTCATTTGAAAAATGAGGCTACCAATCCCTTCCTGCTTGGACTAACCAGATCGATGCACCGGTTATCTCTGAAGGCACCTTTAAAATGGCAGGCCGCAGCTCAGTCTCCACTCCTCATGGTCGTTCATCATTACCATCATATAGCAGTACCTTCTTTTAAAAACTCCTGGTAATAAAAGCATTGTTTTTCATCTGGAACACTAATGTATTTTTTTAAACCTTTGTGTTCTGGAAATGCTCAAATATGTACAGACGTGGAGAGAAGAGTATACGGGACCCCAGGTTTTCCTCTCCCAGGCAGAGACAGACCCCTCTCTGTCTCCCACATTCCTTAAAAAAATTTTTTTTTCAACGTTTATTTATTTTTGGGACTGAGAGAGACAGAGCATGAACAGGGGAGGGGCAGAGAGAGAGGGAGACACAGAATCGGAAACAGGCTCCAGGCTCCGAGCCATCAGCCCAGAGCCCGACGCGGGGCTCGAACTCCCGGACCGCGAGATCGTGACCTGGCTGAAGTCGGACGCTTAACCGACTGCGCCACCCAGGCGCCCCTCCCACGTTCCTTTTAAGTAGCGTCGTCTGTGTTGGTGCGAGGCCTCTGGTCCAGTACGGAAGGGACTTCTATTCTTTTTAGTTATATCATATTTTGTTTTCCCCCACACAGTAAAGAGAGTTTTAATTAGTCACCAATGTTTAAAAATTGGTAGATTCTTCATAAATGTGTGGGTTTGAGTCTTGCCTAGAAACATCAGGAGGCTGGTAGCATGGGCCCTCATTCCTGGGGGTGGGAGGCAGTAGGCGGGTCTGGGCAGCGGCCTCCTCCCCTCCCCATATCGCCTGCCTGACCCCACTGGCATCCGAGTCTGTAAGCCTTACCGTAAACACGCTTCCCCTGTGAGCCTGGCTTTCGTGAGTGGGATAGAGTCTGTTTTCTGCCTCTCTCCGGGTTTTTAGAGGCGTTCTGTATCCTAGGGTGAATGTACATAGCCTTCTAGGATTTCTGATAGATACCACTCTGCTGCTTTTGTAGGTCAAAAATGGTTGACTCTTGGCAATCTCCTGTAGCTCAGTCTAAGACAAGACACGGTTTAAATGTTTAAATAGGGGGCGCCTGGGCGGCTCAGTGGGTTAAGCATCTGACTCTTAATTTCGGCTCAGGTCGTGATCTCAGGGTCGTGGGATCGAGCCCCCCATCGACCTCTGCACTGACGGCATGGAGCCTGCTTGGGATTCTTTCTCTCCCTCTCTCTCTGCCCCTTCCCTGCTCTCTCGCTCTCTCTCTCAAAAAAAAAAAAAAAAAAATCAATGTTTAAGTATGAAATAAGTATGATGTATCGTACGGGGGGTGGGGCAAGAGTTGGGGGTGGGGAGACTAGCGGCTGTGCAGTCATGACCCCGTCAAGTTAAAGCATGGCAGTGAGCAAATGTCTGCAGCCTGAGGTTTTGAAGACAGCTTGACCTTCTGTGAGCCTGCTTTTCTTGTTTATTTTACGTAACAGCTTTATTGAGGATTCACATGCCATACAACTCCGCAGTTACAAGTCGTTGATTTTTAGTGTGTTCCCAGCTACACAATCAAACCACAGTCAATTCTAGAACACTTTCATCCCCCCAAAGAGGAGCTCCACACCCATTAACAGTCCCTCCCCGCCTCCCCCCGATCCACCAGCCCTAGGCAAACGTTAATCCGTTTTCTGCCTCTCCGGATTTGCCCATTCTGGACCTTTCTTGTAAAGGGAATCCTACAACATCTGGTCTTTTGGGACGGCTTCTTTCACTCGGCATCACGTTTTCAAAGCTCCTCTGTGATGTAGTGCGGGTCCGTGCTCGGGTTATTTTTCCTGCTGGATAATATTCCATCCTATGGATGTGCCACATTGTCTTCATCCGGTCATCAGCTGATGCACATCTGAGCTGTTGTGAGTAACGCTGTCACGGAATCCGCGTACAGCTTTTGTGAGAACGCGAGCCTTGAGTTCTCTTGGGTGCATACCTGGGAGTGGAATTGCTGTGTCGTATGGTGACTCTTGTCAGCCTTTTGAGAAACTCCTGGCTGTGTCCAAAGCAGCTACGCTCTTTCCATCCCCATCAGCGATACGCGAGGGTCCTGATTTCTCCACGTTCTCACTTGGCATCTGACTTTGGGTGCGGCCATCCTGGTGGATTTGGTAACAAAACCTTCCCGAAGGAATGTGATCTCTGTAGAGGGTAGAGAAAGGATCGTCGTTTTGTCAGCGGCCTAGGCCATCAGCTGTGGTGATTTTCAAGAGCTCCCAAGGAAGCCAGGTTTACATCATGAGCTCAACATGCCCCGATCGTGCACCCCCGGCCCGGCCCAGCGCCGGCTGCGGGCCCTGCCCGTGGGTAGCGGGAGGGCTTTGTCTCTTATGACTTGTTCCCGGGGTGGAAAGTAGCCTCCCCCTGTCTCATCTGCCATGTGGCCATTCTCCATGCAGGTGTCACCATGAAGCTCATGGACGAGGTGGCTGGGATCGTGGCCGCACGTCATTGCAAGACCAACATAGTCACCGCTTCTGTGGACGCCATTAACTTTCACGACAAGATCAGAAAAGGTAACGGGACTCTGCTGACGGAAGGCAGGTGGCCTTTGGCTGTCGGGCTCCCTCTGCCGGTTCGCTTTTGGTTCGTGCCCCGTGTCGCCAGCGCCCTGGTGTCCGCCCATTTGCCATGAGAGACAGGAAGCCAGAGTTTTGTGCTTTGTTCCTGTAGTTGCATCCGTGAGGCTAGGATTTGCTCGTTTGACTTTTCAATCTGATAGACTTATTTATAACTCGTGTTGGGGGCCCTAATCCTACTCAAGCGCACCGTGAACCCATCTTCCGAAAATGCTCTGCGAGCGGAGCCCTCTGATCATCTTATGTGCACAGTCCTGGTGACGGTTGCCAGCAGAGTTTACGCCACTGTGCACGTTTCCTCTGGCGTTGGAATAACCCTTGATGTAAGTAGTGGCGGGATCCGCACCGAGAAGCCCAGGGACCGCAGTCCTGGGCCAGTCCGCCTGTACCACCCGGGACCGCTGGGGTTCGTCCTGTCCCCAGGCCCAGCGACTCGGCCGCCACCCAGACGGCGCCTGCTGTCTCCCTGTGCGTTTGCCACCACAGGAGACAGAGCCGGCTCATCTCGCTCGTCCCGCGTTGCTGCTGCAGGTGTGGAGCGGCCGTCCCCTCCCGAGACACGGTGATTTCAGTGTGTGTTGTCTTCCGAGGTGAGGCTCCGTGCCCCAGAAATGTAGCCCTTGGCTGCAGGGCTGCGAGAGCCTGGCATTGATGCTGGGTCAGCCCTGTTGTGACTGCAGCCTCGTGGGGAGAGCTGTCGGGTCAGACCGGTCCTGGGTGGGGGTGGGGGGTGATGACAGGCACGCCGCCGAGCGAGCGAAACAGTGCCCCCCCCCCCCCCCCCCCCCCCCCCCCCTCACAGACCCCGAAGGGCCCCGGGCCAGCACGGCCACGCTCTGTCCTGCAGAACACGGCAAGCGAGTGAACGTCCTGGAATGGGGTGGGGGGCGGGGGGGGCGCGTGCCCGCCCTACATGCTGGGAGCTCGTTAAGCATAGCCGAGTTGGATTTGGGTGCTCTGAGGGGAAGGAAAAGGTCTGCGGTGCCGCTCCCTCTCCTCTGCAGAATCCCTTCGTAACTGGTAGGTGTTTGCCACAGAGACCCCAGCGCCCTGTTAGAATTTACCCCAGGCGAGCAGCCTTGCCTGTCTTGGCTTGTCCTCCGTGGGCCGCGGGTGTGGTGTGCGGCCGTGCCTCCCTCTCTCGAGAACTCCTCCCTGCAACCAGAGCCCCATTGTTGAATGCCGCTTCAAAATCCATGGTGGAAGACACCTTTACGGGCCGTGACCTTGCTCTGTTCAGTGTCTCCTGAGTGCCCTTTGAGAACCGCCGACCAGGAAGAGAGACTTTTCTAGAGAATCAGCCAGTTTGCTCAGCATCAGCCCGCTCAGCAGATGTGGTCCACAGCTAGGGAAGCCTCCAGAGAATGAAGGCTGACCCCCCCCCCCCCCGACCACGTCTTCACCCTCAAGCCCTTATATGACCAGGGTTAACTTTTGGGGATGGAGAATGATTGGCATCTGGTCCGTAGGAATTAGCAATTTTCAGGGAACACCGTGGGCTCTACTTGGAGCAGAGAGCGCTTTCCGAGACTCACGTAGCAACGGCTGGGGCAGCGCGTGTGTGCGTTGCCTTGACGAACACTCTCCGTTTCTAAAAAGATACGCTTATTCCCAAACGCAGAGAAAACAGTCTTCATTTTCAGAAACTGTAGTTTCTGGCAGGACATTCTCCTCTGGACTGGTTTCCTCCAGCGGGCAGAGTGAGGGGTGGGCCGCGTGGGCTCGCCCGGCTGCACCCTCGGGTGCTGAGCCCCCACAGTCCCCGTCCGGGGCCCCTGGCTGGTGTCCCAGCCCTGGCCTGGAGCCCGTGCCGCCCCTGGGGAGCGGAGAGGTCACTCTGCTTTCTCGGGTCACGTCTCATTTGGCGCGTCAAGGACTGTGGGCCAAGCCAGCAGTGATGGAGTCTGGTCTGTTTCTGTGCCAATGTCCTCCAGGGGCTGTTAGACGCTGTCACACCTTATCTGTTGTTTTCCGGAGGAACGTCCCTGTGTGAAGCTGTGGGCTCCTCTGTGGGAGAGCCCGCAGCGATGTACCCAGGCAAGGTCTCCGTCCTGACAGCTCAGGGCCACACCCGCTTCAGGGACGGAATGGGCACACGTTGTCTTCAGTTCCATGGGGCCGAGGTCGCTGCAGGTGCGGCCACTGTCACGGGCTCCCGTCCTCCCACGTTCTTTGCTCCTTTTTGGGGACATGCAGCGTGAGGCTGGGGGGGCCCTGCTGGCTGTAGGCAATCCAGGGGTGCCAGGAGCTCGCTGTGGGGGACCGGAGACTGACATTCCCGCTCGTTCTGCATTGATTTTCTGATGCAAACCTGCTGAGATTCCCGTGAAGTCCAAACGTGTGGGGCTCTAGCTCAGCCTCCAAGCTCCTGCTGTCCGTGATCCAACATCTCCTCCGCCCTACCAGGAGGGGGCCGGGAGAGCCAGGCCGGCCGGCAGCGTGGGACCCAGCCCTCTGCACCACGGCCAGGGCCGGGGCGGAGTTCAGTGCTCTGCACAGCGCTGTGTGTGTCCCAGGGCTGCACCACAAGGGACCACAGACCTGAGGCTTCAAACAGCAGACGTTCACTCTCTCACAGTCTGGAGGCCCCAAGTCCCCAGTCCTGGTGTGGGCAGGGCCCCTCCGGAGGGGCTAAGAGAGGACCCTTCCAGCCTCTGGTGGCTTGTGGCTCATGGCCACATCACTGTACCCTCTGCCTCGACCATCACGTGGCCTCTCTCTTCTGCCTGTTCTCTTCTGATGACTCTTGTCTCAGGATGTGAGGCTCACCCAGAGAATCCAGGAGGATTTCATCCTGAGATCCTTGACTCTGGGGCATCTGCAAAGACCCTTATTCCCAGCAAGGTCACATTGTGAGGTTCTGAATGGACTTTTGGGGTGCCACTGTTTGGCCCGTTACAATGCTTTCTCTCCTAACAGCTTGGTTCCGGGTAGATGCTAGCTCACTTCCCCTTTCACAAAATGGTGAGGTGGGTAAAATCTGTGCCCCACACTACCCCTTTCCCCACATGAATATGAGTCCTTCCCTTGCGAGAGACGGCGGTAAAGTCAGCACACAGCCCGGGGACCTGACACCTGAGGGCAGCCCCCCGGAACAGAATTGAGGCCCCACGCTTCTCCGGCATGGGGGCACCGAGGAGGGACCAGCGACGTTCCCATGCGTGGCAGGAGGTGGGGTCAGGCCCAAGACCCAGACGTGTGGAAATGACAAAATGGCAACGCTATAGTGCAGAACATGGAACCGCCCTCCTTCTTCTTGGGCATTGAACTAACTCGTTCCTGAGTCGAGTGTGAAATGAGATCAGCATAAGGACTATTTTTTTTTTTAAGTTTATTTTATTTTGAGAGAGAGAGAGAGAGAGAGAGAGAGAGAGTAAGCAGGGAGGGGCAGAGAGAGAGGGAGAGGGAATCCCAAGCAGTCTCTGCGATGTCAGTGCAGAGCCTGACACGGGGCTCCATCTCGTGTACCGTGAGATCAGGACCTGAGCCAAAACTAAGAGTCGGACACTTAACGGGGCTCAGCCACCCAGGTGCCCCCAAGGACCATTTTTTAAGTACTGATATTTCACAGAAAAGGCGCATGTAGGCGACGGAGTCGGTGGACATCCCAGGCCTGTGGTCACGGTGTGGCCGCTGTCCACAGCCAGCGCCCAGCCCCCGGGGCCGTGCCACCGCGCATCTCTGCGACGCACAGCCCTGGAGGACGCAGCTGTAAGAGGCCGCCCCCCCCCCCCCCGGGAGGGGCGTCCCCCACCCTCTGAAGGTTGATCTGACGCAGTGGAGAAAAGCCCAGAATTGTCGACACGTTGCCAGCCAGGCACGCGGCCTGTTTGTGAGCTCCCTGCAGCTGCTGTAATGTCTCACCACAGAACCAGTGGCTTAGAAGGTTCGTGCCCTCTCTTATGGTTCTGGAGGTCAGGCGTCTAAAAGCGGTCCCCGGGGACTTATTTTTATAGGGTCCCTTGCTCCATTGCTGATTTTTTTTTTTTGTTTAAGTTGAGACGTTAGAATGCCAAGGCAGCTGTGAAGGGAAGTAAAAGAGGAACATCGTTACCTTTGATGCCATGGTCTGGGAAGCCGTGGGCAGGAAAGCCTGAAGCTGGAGCTGTGTTGTGCAGAAGCCACGTCCCCAGACTCTTGGGTGGGAAGTGAGGGATCGCCTAGAAAATGCTTTGGGATGCAAAGCGGTTATGTAAGAAATGCCAAAGTTACTTCGCCATGTCCGTGCTTTTCTGAGAAAGCTACACTGTCGCTGCTCTTTTTGGAGCTTGAGCGCTGAGCTGTTTGAAGTGCTTGGCAGCCCCGCAGCTGTGGTAAGAGCAACTTTGTATTATTCTGTTTTCTTATCCTCTGTTTTCTTTTCCGAATCCCCGCAGGCCCCGCTGCGCTGGGGCGGCAGGGGCTCTGGGAGGTGGGGCCGGGCACCTGCCGGCCCCCTTGGGCCTCGCCACTCCGGGTGGCTCAGCCCTGCTCCGGGAACAGAGGAGCTGGGGTCGCAAGGGTGATTTACGCCTCGCTTGGTGGGGCATATGCTGTGCCTGCCCCACGGCCCGGGAGCTATACTTATCCCCAGTTTTCCGATCCGGAAACCGCCCGTGCAGCAGGGCTGCTCCCTTCCAGAGCCGGGAGGGCAGGCGTCCGGGCGCAGGCATCACCTCGACGGTGCTGAGCTTCCCCCCTGGACAGTCACGTGCAGCGCCATTCACTGTTGACGCTCCCTCGGCCGCCCGAGTGGCAGCCGGCCCACACAGCTGTGCGTGGACCTCCTGGCTTTCTCCAGCCTCTCGAAAACGTGGCTGAGCGTCCTTGCTGTCAGAGGAGTCCGGCCCCTGGCACTGGCCTTGGCCTTGGCCTTGGCCCGGGGCCCTTTTCCCACTGAACTGAGACAGAGGCAGGCACCTTAGCCTCCTGCCTCCGGTGCCAGTCGGGCTTTGCCTGGGGGGCTTTGCCTTGGGGGGGGGGGGGGGCCCCCCCGGGGCCCCCCCCCCCCCCCCGCAACAATTGCTGGCCACACATGGCTCTTTGCCTCCTAATTAAAGGTAAGCAAAATGGAAAATGGTCGCACCTGCCACATTTCCAGTGCTCAGTAGCCACGTGTGGCCGGCAGCCACCGCATCAGACGGCACAGAGCAAGGACATCCCACTATCGCCGAAAGTTCTGGGCAGTGCTGGTCTCTGGACCTTCTGGACTCCATCCCCGGTGTCTGACGTTCCGGGGGGAATTTCCATCAACCCTACAGTCATATAGACAGTCAGCCCAAAGCCGGGTGCCCCAGAGCCCCCTTGAGCAGGGCCCCACGACCCCGCGGCTCACTACAGATCTGGGTGCAGAGCCTCCCCGCGAGGCTGCCTGTGGTCCCAGGGTGCTCTCTGCACGCCATCTGCAGGGACACCCGCTCAGACCTCAGGGGCCTGGTTGGGGTTCCCCGGGCAGGGCCCGCCTCTTGGTGGTACGCAGGGGGCTCCGCTTTATTCTGGGAATTCACAAGAGGAATTTCACAGAAGCTCCAGCTTCAGTTCGGTATCTATCCGATGGTTGCACCGCCACACGGACGGCCGAAACGTACAAACTACAAGACAGTCGACAGTCGTGACAGTCCCGTCCCTTCGTTTTGGATACTTTTTAGCAAACTAACGCAGGTATTGACTTCCCGGGCCCTGGATGCAACAGCAAACTGACTTCCCTTCAGAAGCCCACTGGGTCTGGGGCTGTGTGGCTGCCGGGACCCTGGCCCCATTGTCTTTGGGATTCATTTGTTTTTACTTGGAACTTCGTTCACGTTTCTAGACTCTTTGTGTTGTCGTAGAATCCTGCTTCAAACATGGAAATGTCACGTTAAGTGCTAGAAATGTACGATAAGACCCTTTCAAAATAATACGCTCTCAGCTTTATAAGTGTCACCCTCCTGATTTTATAGTCACTAACGATGCAGTGTCAGTAGCGGCCCCAAGAAACTGGATTTTACATTCAAGTCACCCAGCGTAGCGTCTGCGTGGATAGCTGTATTAATTTTCCGTGGCTGCCGTGACTGCTTCTAGAAATGTGATGGCTGGGACAGCAAACCTGCTGTGTCCCAATTCTGGAGGTCCAAGTCCAACCCGGGTCTCTGGGATAACACCAAGGAGCCGGCAGGGGGCAGGCCCGTTCCTTCCGGAGGCTCCGGGAGAGAATCCGTTTCTCGCCTATTCACCTTCCAGAGGCCTCCTGCCTTCCATGGCCTGTGGCCCCTCCACCATCTCCACAGTCACCAGGGTAGCATTTCTCTGACCCTCTGCTCCTGCCCCCTCGTCTGCTTAGGACGACCCTTGTGAGGACATCGGGCCCCCCCGGATAGTCCAGGCTGGTCGCCACATCTCAGCATCGTTAACCTAACCACATCTGTAAAGCCCCTTTGCCACGGACGGTCACATAGTTCACAGGCTCAGGGGCTTAAGACATCTTCCGGGGCCACTGCTGCACCTGCAGTCCAAGTCGGCTCATTCCACTTGACACAGGTCATTTCTGAGCTCTGCCTATGAGCTCTGTAGACAGGACTCTCAGAGAACACAGGGGAACGACAAGGGGGTCAGCTCTTGGGGGTTTCGGGGCAGCATGAGAGGACGTGACCCTCAGTCTGTCCCAAGCCCCCCAACTGCTGCTACCAGGTACCTCTGAGGTTTGGGAGATTAGCAATGAGGCGACAGAGGCCACGAGCTTTCGGGCAAATCTCAGTCTCTTACAGGGAGTTGGTGCTGGAACTCGGGTCCGGAGGGGACTTTGTGTACCGATGTCCCGGGACCCGGTGAGCGCCGCTGAGTCCCGGCCTCTCGGCCCAAGCTTGCGTAGTGGGGATGCTGAGCTGTGGCCCAGGCCTCCCTCTGCAGGGTCTATTCATGCTGCGGTCACATCTCAGTGTCAGGTCTGGCAGAGCTGCTGACGTCCTGGAACCCGGAGAGAAAGGGCAGTGTTCTAAGGCTCAGTTACCCTGGGCTCCCCACAGGCTGAAAACGTAAAATGTCTCTTGCTGATGCAGTAGCCCGTTGTATTTATTTAGACAGTGTTAGAAGTGGCATCTTGGCCAGTGTAAATGCGCCTGCTACAGAAAAAGAAGAACGCTATTTGTTTTAACCTTGACTTCTCATCGCCACGTTGGTACAAATCTCCACCCGAGACACTAACGGCGTTGTGTGGGCTCACTCTGTGCTTGGTTTGGGGTGGCTTTTCCTGGAGGACTGTTAGGGAAGGACACTCAGACCTTACCGGAAATTTCTGTCCCGGGCTTGCATCCCCATGACATACTTAACGTGGGGAGGTGACCTCCCCGTGGCCGCATTTGCAGCCCACCATTTCCTCAACTTCCCCGAGAGATGTTACTCCTGTGCCTGTTTGCAGATGAGGCCACAGCACAGTGTGGCTCCCGGCTTGCTGCCTGCCCCCGGGGACCTCCCCAGCCACTGCAGCCTGTGGGGATGGCCGGCCACCCAGGGCTCACACCGGGCCTCAGAGAGCCTGCCTTTCATGGAGACGCTTTTTGAGAACGTCTGGCCGTTCCCACTTCAGCAGCTCAGAGGACTACTCCGTGCGCCCTCCTGGCCTCCGTCCCCCAGGCCAGGAGAGCGGCCCTGACACCAGGAGCCTGTCCTAGGTGGGCCTGTGACACCCAGCACCAGCAGCAGGTGCCGTCTTCCCCCTTGACCTGGTCATGCCTGGTCTTTTTCATTTTTTTTGAGGGAGAGACCACCCACGTGTGCACGTGCATACACATACATGCACACATGAGAGGGAGAGGGACAGAGGGAGAGACAGAATCTCAAGCAGGCTCTGCACTGCCAGTGTAGAGCCTGACAC